GTATGCATCTCCTCAAGTTGTGAAATTGGCTCTGCAGGGCTTGCTTGAATCTCAGTGCCTGGTACCCAGGACATGCTCAGAATACATGGTCAAATGGCTGCAGGGACTGTCATAACCCTCAGAGCCCCTGTCATAACCCTCAGAGCCCCTGTCCTTGCTCCCTGACCTCCTGCCAAGGAGGAGGCCTCAATACCTATCCAACAACCCTAAGCAGGAGCTTGTCTCTTTCCTTCTTCTTTCTAACCAACCCCCAGTTCCTGTTGTCTTTGTATCCAGTTTGTATAATGACTGTGGATGCTTCATCCTTTCTGCCATAGCCTTCACCCAGGACTGGTCATCAAAAAACTGTCACCCCTGGCCTCACACTCATATTTCAAAAGCAAATCATCTATGAGAGCTGACGGGCTAATACTATGCAAAGAACCTTTGCAGATCAATAAGAAAAAAGACAAAACCCCATAGGAGAGAGCAATTTTCACAGGAAAAACTATAATTGGGCAACAGGCATGTGAAACAGTTCAGGATGATCAGGAATGGAAAATAAAAAGTAATTTCAAACAAAAATACTTCTATGTTGAAAATATGATCCCATTAAGGTAAAAACATGGTGTATACATATATAAATATCCATGTATATGTATATATGTATATATGATATATATGGTATCTGGGTTCTGACCCAGCTAACAAAGCAAAAGTGTCTTCCTTTGATCTAGTTCAAGAATATATATATATGCCTGAAATTTTATTAAAATATTATATTTACTCTGGTTAAATCTGCATCTGTGATTATCTTTTTTTAACGGTGATTTTCTATGATTTCTAGATTTTTTTTCCATTAAACATGCATTTAAAAGCCTTCTCTCCTCCTATTCCCTCTCCTTCCTCTCCCTCCGTCTCCCCAGTCATGCACATTGTTTTCTGCCCCACTGGATACAAGCAAACTTAAGGCTTTCTGTGGCCTGGCGGCAATCTACTTGTCTACCTGCCCCCCACCTACCTATCTCTCTCTCTCTCTCTCTCTCTCTCTCTCTCATATTATAAACCAAACACTTTGCAATACTCAGCACCCAGTGGCTGCTTCACCTCCATACCTGGCTACACTGCACCTGCCTATCACACTCTGTTGTGGCCTTCCCTGCTCTAAAAGACTTCACTGGTCTATCCCTACCAGGTCAGTGCTGCTCTTGGATCTCTTTCTTGCAGAGCTCCTTTAGCCTTTCACTGCTACCTTGCACATTCCAGTTTCCTGCAACCCTGTTTCTCTACTGACTTCAACCTGTCCTGACAGCTCATAAGCTTTTCTCATGAAGGCCAATATTTTAGGCATCTTTGTGTTCTCTGAATTTACCATACCTTCCACCAAATAAAATGCTTAAGAAATACCTGGAATTATGTTTTGGATGTGGTTTGTCATTCCAAGTTTCATTTTTGGGAGCTTGATCCCCAGTGTGGTACTGTTGAGTAGTGGGATGTAATGGGGAATAAGGTTATTGGGAGTGTTGCCTAAGAAGACAGTTCTCATGAGACCTCAGTTAGTTCCTGAGGGAGAAATTGTTAAGCCTCTTTAACCCCCCACCAGACTGTCAAAGTCTACTGTTCCCTGCCCACCCACATAGGGCTCAGTGCCCATATGGGTTTAAAACCTTGCTTACCAATTAAATCAATCCTTGAAGACTTTAGTTGAGAAAGCATGGCCAGCAATGTCACTTCTGCAATAAAGTATGAGCGTGCCCATTGTGCCCAACCACCTGCTGCAGCTGGGCATGGAGGTGAATGGTTCTGTCCTTCTGCTTTCATGCAATGGAGATAGTACAAGCAGCAGTGGAACATAGGATTTTAACCCCATAAAGGGGCTGAGACAGTACCTCAGATATAGCACTCACATTTTACAAATAAGGAAACTGAGATGGGGGAGGCAATACATAGTGGCTGTAGTTGCTAAGTAAGTCCCATCTACCAGGCCATTACCATTCTCACTGCTGCCTACCACCACCACCACCACCCATCTATGTCAGAACTAAGCCCAGAGCCCGGGAGGCATAAAATGGAACGGATGAGTATGAGAAATCGTAATTCTGGCACAGTCCGGAACCTTTTAACAAATCCCTCTTTGAAACCCTGAGGCAAACTTCTGCATAAATCCCAGCCTCACCAGCTACTGGCTATGTGCTGTAGTAGCACATGTTACTTTCCCTTTCTAAGCATTAGTTGCCTTGTGTGTATGGAGAGGAGATGAGGATTTGATGGGAAGGTCTCACTGGCCCCTCCCTACTCTCTGACCTCCTGTCCTGCCATGTGATCTCTTACTTTGCCATCTGCCATGCTGTGACATAGCTAGGGGGTAGCCTTACACAATGTTCTTTGGACTTTCAGCCTCCCTCCCCCCACTGTAACTTACTTAGCCTTAGGTATTTCGTTATAGCAACAGAAAACTTGGGAAGCTGAAATGAACTTGAACTTTGGCAGTTTTGACAAATGGGTATTATTACTTTCATTTTGAAGATGAAGGAAACAAGCTGAGTGTCCCAGTGGTAGGTGTTGAAACTTAGATTTAACCACAGGTCATTCAGGGGGAATAAGGGGAGCAGGTGGACTAATCTTAACCCATGGGGTCAGGTTCAAATGGTCTCCTTATTGATAAAGACTTAAAAGGGAACAGAATTCACTTTAGGGAGTAGTGGAGGGGAAAGAAGGAAGGTTGTTGTGATAATAGTTATGAGCTAATAAATTGTTGACACATGTGCCAGGAACTGTTATAAGCTCAGGCTCACACCTCCTCACAAATGAATGCCTGGATCAGGAAGCAGGCACATCGGAAGACTGGCACAGGGCTGGGTATAAAAAACCTTAGAGGACTCAATGGAGGGCATGAGAAGCCAACACCTCACTCTATGCCAGGCATAAAACCTAGCTTATCACATCAAATCCTCATCTCCTCTCCATACACACAAGGCAACTAAAGCTCAGAAAGGGAAAGTAACATGTGCTACAGCACATAGCCAGTAGCTGGTGAGGCTGGGATTTATGCAGAAGTTTGCCTCAGGGTTTCAAAGAGGGATTTGTTAAAAGGTTCCGGACTGTGCCAGAATTACGATTTCTCATACTCATCCGTTCCATTTTATGCCTCCCGGGCTCTGGGCTTAGTTCTGACATAGATGGGTGGTGGTGGTGGTAGGCAGCAGTGAGAATGGTAATGGCCTGGTAGATGGGACTTACTTAGCAACTACAGCCACTATGTATTGCCTCCCCCATCTCAGTTTCCTTATTTGTAAAATGCGAGTGCTATATTTGAGGTACTGTCTCAGCCCCTTTATGGGGTTAAAATCCTATGTTCCACTGCTGCTTGTATGATCTCCATTGCATGAAAGCAGAAGGACAGAACCATTCAACTCCATGCCCAGCTGCAGCAGGTGATTGGGCACAATGGGCACGCTCACATTTTATTGCAGAAGTGGTCTTGCTGATTGAGGTAATCGGTAAGCAAGGTCTTATACCCATATGGGCACAGAATGCTCAGCACAACGCTTTGTACTCTCAGGGGAATAATATGCACCAATACTTAATCTGGCAAATGATGGGCTCAGAGCCTATGAATATTATCTCATTTCATCTTGGCTTTAATCCCCCAGAGGAAATATTGGCATGCCTGCCCATTTTATAGATGAGTACAATCAAATCTACATAGCTTTACTGATTCATCCAGGGTCATTGATGCCAGATGATTCTTAAATGGCTTAATTTAATAATGTTGCTCCACAAATGAACCCCAAGTGATGAATTAAAGTTATCAGAAAGGATGGAGTTCAATCCAATTGGCCTGGAGCCCTAGAACGGTGACATGGGAGTTTTCTCTGGTGGATAAGGGGATGCATTTCTTTGTGACAAGGGCTCCCCTGTCCTTGAATACAGGAGGCGAACCTTCCCAAGTCTGGTTCTGTGGCCACCGGTGTTGCATAGAGTCACACAGCATAGAGTCACCTTATTTGTAAAATTAGAGTGCATTGAGCAGTAGCTGATAGATCTGACCTGGTGTCTGGCCCCAAAGCTAGCTGGGCATGTTCCCCTCCATCTCAGGAGGGAAGCACACAGACTGAAGAGTTTCTCCTGATGAATGGCCTCCTCCCCCACAGGGCTGCAGAAGACCTCCACCCACATTTGCTGGAACAGCATTCTGCAGCTATGAGTAGTCACCATGACAACCAGGGTCTTCCCATTACCCTTGCTGCCCAGGCTGCACCTCCTGTGTTTGCCCCAGGGCTTCCAGAAGCAGTGTGGCTCTCCCCAGCCCTGCCCATAGACTCCTAAGGCTGCAACCCAGAAGCACCCTGGGCAGGGAAGGCTTCTGCCAGTGGCCTCTACCCAACTCCATCCAAAGTATGAAGAAAGCAGAAAGTGGGGTAAGGACAGAAAAGGAATGGGATGCTGCTACTGAGCAAGCTTCTGGAGGCTTACTCACACCTTGGTAGTCTGAACACTTCATGATAATGCCCCCAAATCCCCAGTCCTTGGCACCAAGGTCCTTATCAGTGCACTTTGCTTCCTTTCCACCAAAACCATTGACTTTCTCCAGCTGGAAGTTTTCTACCTAACCCAGTGCTTGGTATTTCCATCAGGGTTCCTTAGGTCCACTGGACCCTGCCCTCCTCATCCAGCAAGTGCCCACAAAACTGGCCCTTATGACATGGATACTCCCCATGCCAACTTCCACCCTTTGCCTCAAGCCTTGTGTATGCGGTAGTATGTGTCTATAAGGTTTGGGAGGCCCCCAGAAGCAAGAACTCTGTGCTAGGCAATGCCCTTTGGTGTTCCCCTGGAGGCTGCCACTTGGCACAAAGTGCTCAGTGAATTGTCGGTAAATGAATGAACGAATGAATGAGTCAATGAAGAGCAGGAAGAGGAAAAGCAGGGGTGCAGGAGTGAGAAGAGTGGACAAGTGAGGAAAGGAAATAATGAGAGGGGGTTCCCCCACCCCCACCCCCGGGACGTCCTGTACTTACCCAGCCGGGCACGGAAGCTGCGCACAGTGTTGCCTCCTCCCGGCTGCGTGCCCCGCCGGCTGTACTTTTCATAAAGCCTGAGCATGTGGACAGCGACCATGTCCTGGGCACCGGGGCCCAGAGCTGCGGTCGCATCTCCCAGGGACTGCTGGGGGTCCTTGTCCCCCTGCAGGCCGTGGACTACCGCGGGCAGTGCGGACCAGGAGGGGGCCGTGTGGCTGCAGCCCGCAAACCGGAGCAGCAGAAGCAGAGGCAGCAATTGGGGCCCCAAGTTGGTCCAGGCGGGGCCACGAGCCATGGCGGGGTGAGGATGGCGAAGAGCAGGAGCCCAGGAGGACTGTGAGCGCGGGCGCAGCTGAGGCTGCGAACCGATCCCGCGGCAGGAAGGTGTACACGGAATCCGGGGAACAGAGGGCGCAGGGATGTGGACAGCTAGATCTGCGTGAGACGGGCAGCCGTGTGCGCGGTGCATCCACACGGCCCGAGTTCCGGGCCAGCCGTCGCAGTCGTCTGAAGCCGCGCGGAACACCGCAGAGCCCAAGCCCGCGCGCTGCCTTGGCTGACTCGGGCTGCGAAACTTTGCAGCTCACAGCGCGCCCGGGCTGGCGGGTTCGAGGGGCGGGGCGGGGCGGGGCGGCAGGCGTCGCCCTCCGGGGGACCTAGCTAAGCGTCCAGTATCACTCCAGGCGGCCGCGGACAGGGCCCTTCCTTGCCAGGCTGTGATGTGCGTGCGCACTTGTGTGCGGCGTGCGCGCGCTGGGGTATGCGCCCGAGTGTGCGCCCGCGACTGTGGGGGGCGTGGGTGTGGGCGAGCGCGCTCACCGCTCCCCTGCAGAGAGTCCGAGACCAAACCTAGCTGCAGGCTCCGGTGTATTGGCGCCGACAGCCTGGCCAGGGCTGCAAGGGGGCTGGGAGGCTTTTGGAGGGGGGCCCGCCTGCCGGGTTGCCCCTGCAATGGCATGCGATGGTTGTGCAGTTGCAAGATGACAGCTCCCCCATGAGGACCCGAAAAGGGATGTGTGTGCGCCCAGTTGTTGTCTCTGAGCCAGTGTGTGTCCAAAATGCAAGAGTGCAGGCTGGGAACACGGACCCTTCCTGGGGAGGCTCTGGAATGAAAAAGAAGCCCTCACTCCAAAGCTCTACCAACTCAAGGCAATGACAGCAAGATCCTGATTAAAATTCAGTTAGCTGATTAACTGACTGAAGCTTTATTTGGCAACAATGAATTCAGTTGTTGAAGAAATACATCAAAAGTGTTTATTAATCTTTGGTCAAGACTGCGTGAAAAAGGACATGCTTTCAATTTGCTTTAAAATAATAATAATAATCCCCCAAAAGATCAGAGGAGGGAAGAGAAATATCTGGCTTTCCCAAGAAGGGTCCCCAGTGAACGGTGGGTCTAGTTGAGTCCCTGGTTGCTGCCCCTTATCTTAACCCTGTAGGAGAGTGTCCTCAACTTTGTTTCTCCTCTAACTGGCTCAGTGTTACTTCCCGTGGATAGAATTCAGGAATCTGTGAACTTAATGAGGAAAAATTAGATCTTTATGTTCACTGTCTCTGGGTTTAGTATTTCTTGATACTCTAAATCCAACCAACCTGTGACTTTTTCACCAGTAGGCACCAGCCACAGAAATTTTCATATAGCAGGAAAGTTGTTTCAAATCTCTCAAAGTGCATTTTTGCTCCTCATTTCTTTGAAATTACAGTAATTATTATGCCAGCTGCTATTTAAGGAATTAATGAAAAAATGACATATGTTACTATGTTGCCAAGTTGTTTTCAATACTACTACATTTAATTAATAGTACATTAAATAGTACATTTAATATAATTACTTTCTTTTGTAACCCTGCACATTTTATTTTATTTTATGCATTTAAAAACATCTTTGGAGGATTCCATAGGCTTCACCAGACTGAAAAGGGGGTCCAGGGTCCTAAAAATTTAAGAATCCAAGAGAAGGAAAGGATCCTTTTCAAACCCATATTCTTTCAGAATGCTCCTGGACACCATCTGGACTACATTTTAAAGGACTATCTGCAAACTTGTGAACCACTGTTTCTTTCACATGGTGACTTTTGAGCTTTGTGAGTCAAAATAGTTCTTGGAGGGCTCACAATGCAATAATTTAAAAATTGCTGAGGGGCTGGGGTTGTGGCTCAGTGATAAAACACTCGCCTAGCATGTGTGAACCCTGAAAAAATTGCTGAGAAAAGCTTCTGTTAGTGGGTAAAACATTGGTAATTTTTAAAAAATCTCATACTGTCCAATTAGAGGTGATCTTATTGAAAGCCCCTGAACCTCAGTCCTTTAGCTTTTGGAAACTGTAGCGAAGCATTTGTTATACAAAATTACATATAAGAGGAAGTGAGGGGAAAGGGGGAAATAAAACAAGAGAGAGAAATGAATTACAGTAGATGGAGTAGAGAGAGAAGATGGGAGGAGAGGGGAGGGGAGGGGAGGGGGGATAGTAGAGGATAGGAAGGGCAGCAGAATACAACAGACACTAGTATGGCAGTATGTAAAAAAGTGGATGTGTAACCAATGTGAATCTGCAATAATGTATACGGGGTAAAAATGGGAGTTCATAATCTGCTTGAATCAAATGTATGAAATATGATGTCAAGAGCTTTGTAATGTTTTGAACAACTAATAATAATTTAAAAAAAAGAATTGAAACTTAAAAAAAGAAAGAAAGAAAATTAGTTCACATTGTGTTCCACTTCCTGTTAGTATAGTTCCCATGTTTTCTGTGAACCCATTTCCCAAAATGGTTTGCCTGGAGGTGAGATGAGGAAATCTCAGTTGCAGGCTTGAATCTCTTCTTATAAATGATCTACCTCATCTTTTACTGTCCCCTCCCCCACCCCACCTCTTTCCTTCTCCATGTGCCCCTCACTTCCCCTCTGCCCCCCCTTCCCCTTCTCCCCCAGAATGCCTCTGACCTGCACCAGCTGGGGGTAACCTCTGCTCAGGGGTAGTTTTGTCTCTGCTGGGGCCATACACAATCAAGGCCTGTGAAAAGGAGGGTGAGTCCGCAGGAGGCCGGCACAAGCTGGGCTATTCGGGATCTGCCTCCATTAAAGCCTTCTCGCCCTCCTTAACTCATTCTGGCTCCATTCAAGCCAGCCTGAGGGTCAGGCTTTAGCTGGCACTAAAACCTGTAGGGTACAGATTCTCTGACATTGTTGAGAAAGAATTAAGGCATCAGCCAAAGACGGCTAATATTTCTTGCTTCATTTTATTGTTGAGCAGCGGGACTGTAAAGTTTTGAACACTGGAGCACTGTGGCCCCCTTTCATGTGGCCGAGATGATGGGATAAAAATGTGTTTGGTGAAGCAATTCAGATTACCACTGGGTCACATCCTCGCTGGCTCTCAGCACAGCCCTCAAAATGGTACAGCTCAGACAAGAAACAATCTGTGTAATTGCAGCTCATGCTGAACAGTGTTTCTAGCATGGAAATAAGGCTAATTTGGATCTTGCCAATGAGTATATTTTGATTTTAATAGCTCAGGCCGCAGCTCAGAATAAGAGTTGAGATGGCAGACTGTGAATACAAGTTCTCCAATCTATGGTTTCTGACAGCCTCCTACACAAGTATCTTGCTTCTGGGGGTATCTTAGCTATATTTACCAGAGATGCTGAGGTCTCAAACTGATCGTTGAGATGAGGAGTATTCTCTCCACAGAGGGGAGATGTTGTTTGGGTTCTCTTAGTCATCCAGGCCTCTTTGCCACACACTTTGAAGATAGGAAGGAGTGAAGAGGGACCTTGGTTAGAAAGTTCTACACTTAAGTAAAGAAGAAAACAAATGGGATATGTCTTTCATCAGAAGCTCTCTCCAAGCAGAGTGCAGTGGCACATAACTATAATTTCATCTACTTGGGCGACCAAAGTAGAAGGACTGCAAGTTTGAGGCCAGCCCGTGCAACTTAAAGAGATCCTGACTCAAAATAAAATGTGAAAAGAGCTGGGGATGCAACTCAGTGGTAAAGTACCCCAGGGATCAATCCCCAGTACCATATACATACATTTAGAAAAAAGAATCGGGCATGTAAGCATACATGAAGTCCTTGCCTAGCATGTATGAAGTCGTGAGCTCACTCCATAATACCATAAAAAAACAAAAACAAGCAACAAATAAATGGCCTCTCCCTAAATAAACACCAAATGAAATGTTCGAAAGCAATTGTTTCACGATATTGTCCAGTTACTTCGTGGCTGAGCCCATTCACAGCTCTAACTAGCTCTGTAACCCTGAGGCAGCCCCACGTCCTCTGTGAATCCTGGAAGGCTGATCCCCAAGCTCCGTTTCATATCCACTGCTCTATACTAGGCTTGTGGCCTTATGTCAACCCATTCTTGGAAGTGAGAAGGTACATATGACCTTGTGAAGTCAAGCACTAGGTTCACTGCTGTCTTGCTGTATGACCTTAAACAACTTACTTGCCTTCTCTGGACTTCAGTTTCTTCAACTCTAACAGGGAGACAAAAGCCAGACATAGTGAGGATATTGGTAAGATTTTAAAGTGAGATGGTAGAGAATTACATTGGTCACCATTAATACTCCTTTTATGGTGTGTTTGAAAGAGTTGCCACACATCAAAAGTGTTCCCCAACTCTGGACGTTTGATTAGAGTCTCACCTGGCTGTTCCTTGCTTTGCAGAGGAAATACACTTATTAATGCACAGTGCAAAGAGCCGAAAAGGCAAGGAAATTGGAGGAATATTTTGTTGATTAGAGAGTCTTAGATCTCTACTAACGAGAGCTGTTGTTATCAATGTCTGAGAGAGGATGATTCACAGCTCTTCATCTAAATTTTCAAAGCTCTTAGCCCTTCAGGACAAAAGAAATGTGAACAAGTCCCAGTTCCCATTTGGGGCAGGAGCTGTGGGGCGCTAGAGACAAGAATCCCAGGGCCTCACCAGGCCGCCGGGCCCGAGTGTAATAAATCTGCAAAATAACAAGCACAAAGGACTTTATAATCAATGACAGATTTTATTTTTGTTCTGGCAAAATCCATCCGTGGAGTTCACATTTTATAGAGAAACAACTACCCAGTTTGTGACTCCTCCTTAGCTCGTATTCTCTTTCTGAAAGTTGGGAAAACTCAGAAAATCAAAGTCAGCTCTCTGAGAACTGTAGCAGGCTAGAGCAGGACTTCCCCTGGGCGGGAACCCAGCTCTCCCGTTACTTCCTAGGGTGGCGCAGGCCATTCATTTCTGTTTTGCTAAAATACCCGTGACATGTGAATAAACCAGGATTACAGAACATTGTCTCGGTCAGTAATCTG